ACGCTGCGTTTCACTCCGGCTCTCATCATGAGGCGTACGCGCTCAGGGGATGAGTGGAGGTGTGCAGTGCTGTTCACATGAGGCGTTACAACGGCGCTCATGGGTTTATTATGACCGTGTGTAGGAGGCGTATCTCGGACAGAGGAATGCCGCGAGCTCTGCAGTTTATTAACCGATAGGTTAAAACCGACAGGCTCTTGCAGCGAGCCCTGCTGCCTACTAATCAACAGATTAGTGGCAGCCGGCGTAATTAGCGAACTCTGCTTTTGCAACGAGCCCTGCTGGCTACTAACCGATAGGTTATAGGCAGCTGGCTTACACAGAGTGGGATATGTGAGAAACACTTGTTACTGATGACTCAGTACAAAAAGTTGGAAAATGAACACACTTTACTCACAACCCCCCAGAACGTCAGAACCGGCTCTGCTTCCTCAGAGGCTCTCGTGGAGCAGACCAGGAGCGGGGGAGCCTCACTCCCCTTTGACTCGCCGCCGGGAGACCCTGTCTATGGGGTGGTGGGGGAGCGGAGACGTGGGACGGAGCCCCTGCAACCGCCGAAGGGCGAGCCTGACGCCAAGGCGGTTGCCTGAAAGGCACACTGGTGCACCCGGTCGGCCTGGCGGGCGACATACTGGTCTCTGGGGGCGCTCAACGTAGGGCGCCGTCCGGCGATTATGTTGGCCTGTCTTACCCCAAAAAAACGGCAGAACCGAACGGTGAACCGTGGAGGGAGGTGGGGCAGGAGTCGTCCGACTCCTGCCCGGCACTTGGCCCCAGGGACACGAGGCCCCCGTCCGCGGGCTCGTAAGCCTGGATGGGCCAATCGTCCTCCTCGGCCGCAGCAGCGAGAGCGTCCGCTCTCCGCTTCCTTTCGCCCGAGGGGAGACGGGCACATGCACCCACTGTGCCCGTCTCCCCCCGGCCGAGGAGGGCACACAGCATGTGAATCCAGGCAGGACTCACACACTGTGTGCTAGTCATAACTCATTATGAACCCAGAGCCACATGAGGGACAATCTCTCACACAATTGTCACCCATGTTTACTCTGCAATTGAAGTGTCTCTTGTGCTTCAGTAACGGGGTGCTGAAGAAAAGAGGGAGCAGATTGTCGGGCCTCCTTCCTATTTATACCGGAAGGGAGCCCGAGGGTGGGGCCCACCTCGCGGGTTGGCGTGGACTACAAGTGTTTCAGTGCTGCGCGGGTGCGCAGGGGGATTACCCAATAGCGATAGCCTTAGAGGGCGAAGCCATATACGAAATAGAAGTAAAAACAGACATGAGACACGGGGTAAAAACATTTAACAATAAAACAGACAGATTGTGACAAAAAACGTTTTGGATGTTTTTTTCTTCTTCGGTTTGTTATAAATAAGTACTGTACAATTATGAGGACTACATTTCATGTCCCTTAATACTTCTACTTCACTACATTTCAGAGGCAAACATTGCACTCTTTACTCCACTATATTAATTTGATAACTTGCGTTACTTTGAAGATTTGGATTCCGTTACAAAGTATGATATATAATATAAAGAAATAATGTATCATGAATTATTATGGTTAAGAACTTTAATGATCCCTTAAAGCATACATGTCAAACTCAAGCCCCGCGGGCCAAATCCTTCCAGTATATTGCACGCACACCTTCACTCAATCCTGAGGGTCTCCTCAGCTCAGAGCCTGACCCCAAACATTGATGAACTTGCACCCAAGATGAGATGCCAAGTATCTGCTTGAACTAGCATCACAGAGCAGCACACTGAGTCTAAATGGATGTTTCCTTCTGCACGTTTTCTCTCACGACAACAGGGCATGTTTGGTTTTTTCTTTGAGGGGAATAGTTTTTTTGAAGCTGTTGTTGGCCTGAGGAGAAATGTAATCATGAGAAAGGACTCTGGAAAAGCTGCAGATAGAGCCATAAGAAATTAATGCAACTGATTATTTAATGTTTAATGTTGTTTTTATAGGCAATCATTTAAGCTTTGTTAGTTCCAGGTTTAATATGTGCAATAAGTTCATTTCAATAAGTTTTGCAATAAACATTGAACCCTCGACTAGTACCGATTTTTTTATTTTGGCCCACTGTGTATTTGAGTTTGACACCCCTGCCTTAAAGGTCCCATGTCATGGCCATTTCTACTGATCATAATTCCATTGTTGAGGTCTACTAGAATAGATTTACATTGTGCAATGTTCCAAACTCACATTGGTTTCTCATACAGCATCTCTGTATAGTATGTGTATTCACTCTCTGTCCTAAACGGCTTGTTGGAGCTCCTGCCCCCTCCCTGTGAGCCCAGTGGCCGTCTGCGAGACAGCGAGACACAGCGAAACCCAGCGCGAAACACACACACACCCGCAGCCTGGCTGGGAGTTTGTGTGTGTGCTCAGGCTGAGTTCCGCGGTGTCTCGCCGACCCCACACCAGTGAGCCAGCTCACAGTGTCCCGCTCCTCGCAGCAGCGAGCCTCGCAACGTCCCGCCGAGTGTGTGTGTGTGAGGAAGTCTGCGGATTGGTCCAAACGTAACGGCTCCGCGGACGTAACGTAACGGCTCCGCAGATTGGTCCATTTGGATCAATCTGCGGAGCCGTTACGTTACGTCACTATACCCAAGAAGTAAACAATGGAAAAAGAGAAATCCCCAACGAGGCGTTCTGGGGCAGCACAGACAGGTCTTTTCTGTATTAGAGTTTTACTCGCTACAGGGTGTACTTTGAGGGTTTGTGACTTTGCAGACCGTTTACATGCAGAAGCTACAGAACACAAGGGGACGGGTAATAACCGGAAAAGCATGACTTGGGACCTTTAAAGATATTCACAACCTATACCAGCAGTGAAAGAATAAATTAGCTCCACCTTTACCAGCTGTTGCTGCAATAAAGGGATGAACACATGAGTAAATCAATTGATTATTATTGATATATTATTATCATGTTTTGAAATGGCCTAATGTGTTGAATGAGTATTTTGGTACTTTAAGTATATTTTGATTCTAATACCTTAGTATTAGTATATTTTGAATGTAGGTATTTTACTTATAAAACGTTATCAACAATAATATAATACACCTAATACAACTTTTAAAGATCAGATTATTGGTTTTTACATAGGTCGGCTATTCTTCACATTGTTATCGCAGCCATACACAGGAACCAGCAGGATTTGAAACTGCGATCGCAGGGTGTATTTCAGGGACTTCATGGTTATTACACAGGTGCATCTTAATAAATTAGAATATCGTAAAAAAGTTAGTTAATTTCAGTAATTCCATTTTTAAAAGGTGAAACTCATATATTATATAGATTCATTACACACAAAGTGAATTATTTTCAGCATTTATTTGTTTTAATCTTAAGGATTACGGTTTACAGCTAATGAAAACCCAAAATTCAGTTTCTCCGAACATTTTAATATTACATTAGACCAATACAAAAACTGATTTTTAATACAGAAATGTTGGCCTTCAGCTCGTCTGCGTTGTTGGGTCTCGTGTCTCTCATCTTCCTCTTGACAATACCCCATAGATTCTCTATAGGGTTCAGGTCAGGGGAGTTTGCTGGCCAATCAAGCACAGTAATTCCATGGTCACTAAACCAGGCATTGGTCTTTTTGGCAGTGTGGGCAGGGGCCAAGTCCTGCTGGAAAATGAAATCGGCATCTCAATAAATCTGTATAAAAACTAATACATCTTTGCTGCTAAATCGAGGGCCTCAGTCTTCTAAACGCCAACGTCGATGATGGGCTTTGCTGAAACACTGATAGGCCCGCTGGGATTGGAGAAATGGGAGAGCAACAGAGGAGGGATCCCTCTCCCAGGATGGACAGACGTGGAATAGATAATAGATTTACAACATACATTAGGTAGTCCAAATGCTTGAAAATGCATATGTCTATAAATAAGAAGAGACTCAGGACCACAGCAACAGGCACAGTCACTCCTAGCACTGCACACAATATGTAGCAACCTTTTAATTGAAGATGTTTCACATTGAACAAGCAGACCTAATACATTCAAATGTTGACTTCATATACAATTGGAATGGCTATAGATTCCTCCATAGAATGTGACATGTACTGTCTAAAATACATATGACAAGGCATATTAAAGGGGACCTATCATGCAAAATGCACTTTTGTACGTCTTTTCTACATGAATATGTGTCCCCGGTGTTCCAGGGAACTCACCAAGTGTCAGAAAACACAACCCTCTCTATTTTCCTCCATACCCAAATCTCTAAAAAAGGGGGTGCAACGGATCTGATCAAAACTGATCCAGATTTGAACACTGTCCTGACGTCAGGACGGTGGCGCTACGGCTATTGGACCAACTCCACCAATCAGGAGGAGACAGCCACGGCCATTGCCGTTCAAAAGCGCTGGAGACGCTGTAGTACATATGCCAGGCGCTGTAATCTGCCACAAAAGCAGCGAAGAAGACTTGGTTACCATGGTTACCCTTCTGTTTATTCTCCGCTGTGGCTTTCTTTCTCCCTCCCTAAGGCAAGCGTTTGCTCCCGCTGCTTTAATTCAATGCAATCCCTCCCCGTCGAGGCAAGCACTGTAATTCTCTCCGGTTAGTCCACCAGCAGATGACAAACACCCACCTCTCCGCCTCTTCCAAGGAACGAGGGGACCGTGCGGCAGAGTTTCAGTTTCAGTTTCTTTCGCGGGTCAAGATGTCCGTTAAAGTTCAATCTTCCGGACAAAATTTGAAAAGTGCCGGTCAAAGGTCTTCTTTGTTATTTATTGAGCTTTAAAACAAATGAATAACGACTCTATAGGCCTATAATAACACGGAGGACGGAGATCTCTTTTTCTCCCCCTCTTCTGACAGCCCAGCAGCTGATCAGAGCACGGCTCCCCTCTCCTGCAGGGGGGCGTGGTCAGCAGAATCAGACCCGTAGACAGCAAACAGCACATAGAGCGAAATGAGGCATGGCTAAAATGCATGATCTGTTTGGTATTTTGAAAACAGAAACGTATAAATATACCTTATATAGGTATGGCCCTACAATATATCATTTAAATATAGCATGATAGGTTTCCTTTAATAAAGTGTCAGAAAGAGTTGTGTTGCTTCTGACTGAGGAGACTTGTTCATGGTAAAGTGCTCTAATACATGCTTTACCCTAAATTCCTAGTACACATAATCCAGCATGACATGATGGTGTGATAGAATTTTCCGGAGAGTGTTTTCATCTGGGCCCAGCCTCCCCCAGCTCCTCAGCCAGCCGAAACATTTGGCTGCCAAGTAGAGCATTCCAGCACTGAGGAGAATCTTGACAAAGCTGACGCCACCACCTTCTTTTTTCTTCTTGACTGAATCAACATCTAGAAATAGAAATTCACATAACGTCAAGCAGCATTAATTATATATATATATATATATATATATATATATTTATTTCCTATATGAAAACATGGGCAAAGTAAAACAATAACATGCACATATACAACTACAATAATAGACTTAATGTCCACTGGTTTCAATATTCAATTTTATTGAGACCTTGCTCACATGTAGATAATCCCCGACGCTCTGCTCTCGCTGTGGATCCACTGTAGTTCTGCATTATGTTGGACATTTGCTGGGCTGAAGGTTCTGGGTAGTAAATCTCTTCTATATCATTTGCTTGAACCACCTGTATATCTCCCCAGTAGCCTGTCCGGGAGAGAAAGGTGGTGAGGTCTGCCTGTGGGCTCTGCAGGGCTTGAATCAGTTCAGGGTGGATTTCAAAAGTCCCGTGAGTGCTGAACCTCCCGAAGGCAGCTCTGTCATGCTCCGTGACATACACTCTCTCTACCACCCTGGTTCGCAACTGGTAACTGACGATAATGCGATCTAGATTGATATCACCAATGTTACCTTCACAAACATAATTTTCCCTCACATATGTGGGGAGGTTGGCAGACCCTGGGTACGTATCTGTGTTCAGGTTGCCAACTGCAAAGTACAAAACCTAGAGAGAGACAGAGATAGAGGGAAACAGAATTAACAGCTGCATTTGAATCAGATGGCTGGTAGAATAAAGGCAGGCTAGTGGACTGTTGCATTGAGTATAGATGGATGTATGGCTTGAAGAGAATAATTACTCAAGAGTTGTGGTACATGAAGAAGCATTTCGATTAAAAAAAAATCCAAATAAAGGGTTGCTCTAAACTCTTTAGTATTGTACTTCAAGAATTGTGTGAGAGAAAAAAATCTATAGAGCAAATTTTGTGATGGGATAACACCAGCCGCAACTGTAAATGTGTAGTTCCTGCTACAGTATCGGTCAGCAGGAACAGTAGATGCCAGGATGATAGACGCAGATTTACAAGCTGTTACGATCATTCCAGAGATGGAGGACGGGTGAATTGTTGCAACCCTTAAATGCTTAGGCTCCCTGGTGCCAACCACAACAAAAAGCAATTTGTATTCTGGGGGAATAGAGGAACACTTTTAAAACATGTATATTATGCCAGATTATATCTAAACATTTAACTTGACTAGAGACGATAAATTGAACTGCATTATATGCAACTGTAATTACTCAAATTATAGTAACATGCACTGCATTAGCAGGTGAAACAAGGAGGACTCAGAGTCCGGTTGAGCACCACATTGCTGCTAAGCCCACAATTGCAGATGGTGAGATAGAAGACTTACACCAGTTTACCCAGCAGGAAGTGCACCACCACCAGCAGGTGCAGAGCCCTCAACTGAGTCATCATAGTGTGCTTGCAAGCAGCAAACTCACAAGAGGTGTAACACCAGAGGAGAAGCCGTCCCGTAAAGCCAAAGTTAAGTGGCCAGCACGAGTGGCAAGAAGGCATGGCTTTGAGCAGAGCTTACACCCATCCTCCAAAACACCCTAGCAGGCAGCACTCTAAACTCAACCTCTTTGGCAGCATAGTCTGTGAATAAGGCAAGGAGAACTTTGGAAGGTGGCCCAGAAAAGAATAACCCCATGCAAAAAAGACAGACATTATTTAGTTAATACATCTTGGAGTTAAAAGGCAGAGAGAGAGAGAGAGAGAGAGAGAGAGAGAGAGAGAGAGAGAGAGAGAGAGAGAGAGAGAGAGAGAGAGAGAGAGAGAGAGAGAGAGAGAGAGAGAGAGAGAGAGAGAGAGAGGAAAATCTCGCCTAGGGCAGAACATTTATCAGTCAGGTCAGCTTCAGTCGTCCTGATTAGGAAAAGGTGTTTATCCATCCCAAGCCTTCCAGATACGGAGACACTATCCGATTCAGAGTCAGACTCCATATCTACTCCATCATAACCAGCTGATTTCCCCCCCTGCTCTGCATCACTGTCCCAGAGACAACCTGCAGCTCCTGCTCTGAGCACTCCATCACACCCTCTCTGCATCCAGCCCTGACCTGAGCTTCAGCCTCCACAACTGCTTTCAGATTAATCCCCACAAACATTGCGGCTTTAACTGCCATCATGGGACCAAACACAAACCCGCCTGGCACCGCTGCTGCGGGCAAAACAGGCACGGGCACGGCTACACTGGGCGCAGCGAGTGCGGGCACGCCGGCCACGAGCGCGGCTGCACCGGACGCGGCCCATTGTTCAGGAAGTGATCACGGAAGTGCACCCGAGGAAATATGAAGTATGGGGGAATACTGTTCCCTGTTGCTGAGACTGCACAAGCTAGTGTCAATAGATTACCTCTTTTACCAGATGTAAGTGACCCTACCTGTTTAAACCAACGCCTGGCAACCAAACGGTCTGGTTTTTGAACTGTCGTCACACCAGTCTCATCCATATTCCAGATGTCCCCTGGTCCCAGGGAATCTCTGCACCTTCTCCAGATTGTCAAAGAAAGACTTGACATTATCCTTGTTAAAAGCATTTGCCCTGGCAAGGCTAGTTGCCTTTGGTTTTCTGAGAGAGAGTGTAGGGTGCCGTTTTAAGAAGCCTGTAAACCACTCACTGCTGGCCTTTTCTTTTTCAGCCTAAGCGGTGGCCTGTACGACGAAGCCAGTTCAACAGACCCTGTATATGTTTGAGTTATCTGGCTTAACTAACCCTAACAAACGAGATCTCGCTAAACGGTCCTACGACGCTGGTTATCAACTCGGTAAATCAACCCAGGGTTTCTCTGTCCGGCTGAGAGCGCGTTCACGTGAAAGGGGCGGGGTTATCAACATTTGACCAATCACAAACATGGACAAGCGTACTGACCGCGCAGCGCGTCATACTTAATGATTGAATAGTGAACTATCATGTTAGACAAATATGAAGAAGTTAAACTTTAAACATCCATGACTTAAAACTTAAAATGAGTGCACGTGCTGGGGTGTACAGTTTAACCATGTCCTGGATGTAGGAAGGGCCAGATCCATTCACAGCATGGTACGCAAGTACCAGTGTCTTGAAGTGGATTCTAGCAGTTACTGGAAGCCAGTGAAGGGAGCGGAGGAGCGGTGTGGTGTGGGAACATTTAGGAAGGTTGAAGACCAGACGAGCTGCTGCATTCTGGATGAGTTGCAGAGGTCGGATGGCACATGCAGGTAGACCAGCCAGGAGGGAGTTGCAGTAGTCTAGGCGTGAGATGACGAGAGCCTGGACCAGAAGCTGCGTCGCTTTCTGGGTCAGGAGGGGACGTATCCTCCTGATGTTGTAAAGAGTGTATCTGGGTTGTTGCAGCGATGTTTGCAGTGAAGGACAGTTTGTTATCTAGGGTCACACCCAGATTCCTTGCAGTCTGAGTCGGGGAAACAACAGAGGTGCCGATGTTGACCTAACTCTTGTTAGGTCAAGAGTGGGACAATCTTTTCCAGGAAGAAAAAGCAGATCAGTCTTGTCAAGGTTGAGCTTGAGGTGGTGAGCAGACATCCACTGAGAGATGTCTGCTAGACAAGCAGAGATGCGTGCGACGACCTGGGTTTCTGAAACGCCCACGTCTCTGTGTGTTTCACTGTCCACTGTTTGCTCGCCGATGCCCCACACACCCACACCACATCAGGTCCTTGTCTCGTCTGCGCCCATCTACATGGAAGATGTCACCACCCTCCTGCAGACAGCGGCTTGCACAAACAGACTCCTGCTAAGGCTGGAAGAGCTCCTCACTTGGGCAAGGATGAAGATCAAACCTTCTCTGTCGACAGAGATCAGATTCTGCTATTGGCAGAGCAGACTGTGCAAAGTCTTGGGAGGCTGTATACTGATCTCTCAGACAAACACATGTCTTCCTCTGACATGTCGCAGCCCCCTGAAGGGCTAGGGATGATAGATCAAAGCCACTTTCGCGGGAAATGAAAGGTCTGGAGCTACCAGTTCACCCTGTACCAATGCCAGTCAGTGATCACGGTCAAGCTCACTTTCCCTTGTGGGAAAGGCATGCAGCCTTTGAAAGGAAGAAGGACAAATACAGCAAGCTCTCTGAGGCATGCGCTGCAGCTGGGAAGAAGGCATCCACCTATCCAGTGGAAGTCAGAGGCTTTGCTGGAAAATCCACCCAATGATTCCTCAAAGCTGTCGGAATGAACGGGATTTACATCTTCCAACCACTGCCTTCATTGCCCCACCACCTAGAGATGTTCTGAGATTAAAGGGGCGAAACATCTGTGAAGGTTGGCTCCCAGCTGAGGACCCTGCACCTGGTCCGATGGTGCGACAGGCAGCAATGCCCAGCAGATAGCAATTAACTGTGCTTCCATCTTAGTAACAGGGTTGCAAATCAATGCTAATTTGAGCTTTTACCTCAGGAATTAATTTTAGCTGCAGAATGTAATGCTGCTTTCTGTTTGATTTTGAAGTGTCACAGTCTGTCTGTGTTTTCCTGTTTTCCCTCCTATCTGATCATCTGATTCTGTTCACCTGGTGCCTTTGTGTTTTCCCTCCCCTGTCTTGTCTTCTTGATTGTTCTTGTATGTATTTAAGTTCTGGTTTTCTGTCAGTGTTAAGGTAATTCTCAGTTTAAGCCTTTATCCATGCTGCCATGCTCAATCCTGACACAAACTTAGTTAACGAAAGAAAGATAATTTTAAATGAATTTGCCTCCTCCAAAAGCACAGAACACATTATATGCCAGTTTTCACAAAAACGATACAAGTGAGAGTAAACTTGTTGAAGTGCCTTTAGGACAAACAAAAAACAACTACATCACTCACCTGTCTCTTACTCTTACAGTTTCTGTTCAGGACAGGCAGAAGTTCCTCCATATTGCCAAACAGGTGGAAGCCGTAGATACCTCTCTCTGGATGACAGTCTGACACCAGCTGTAGTAACACACTCTGGTCACTTTAGATACATAAAGTCTACACATTCATTGAATTAGAAATGAACAATATTACTGCTGTAACATTAGCCATACATTCTCTTAAACTAAATGGTAGCCTTGCTGGGGACTAGTACTGTATGAGCACAGTGGAATATACTACAGGCAATGACAATCAATATTATTATTTCTGAAATGGTGCAACAATATGTGTACTACAGCTAAATTGCTCATTACAGATAAAAAACGCATATAACAAGAGAAAAATAGGAAGAATGAACACACTACAAGGTTAATCAGAGCCAAAATGTCTGAATCTGAATCAGGTTTATTACAAGAAGGTTTTGAATTTGCTTTGAAGTATAATGGTGCATAAAAATGGCTTACAGTTTAACGTGTTATCTAATCTATTCTTACCTTCATGATGAGCACAAAGTTAATAACTTCACAGGTCACACAGTGGTTGGCAAACCAGAACAGGAGCTGAAGGCCATGTCGTGGAAAAGGACGGCCAAACTCTGAGATCCTCAGCTGCTCCAGAGAGCAGAGCTGACGCTGAACCATAGTGGGTCTAACACACACACACACAAAAACATATAAATATTTATATATATTTGTACAATATTTTATTTAACAACCGACATGCGGGTGGGTTTGCACACTGCACACCAGAATCATGGTGACACAATTTCAGACGTGGAAACAACACAAAGACAAAGAGTTGTACACATTTTTGCATGGGGCCAAAATATTGCTCCTCAAATAGGCTAATCATGGGAAGGTATCCACATAATGGTAAAAGTTAGGTGGAGTTAGACATTTCAATCTGCTCTCTTCATTTGCTCAAATGAAAGCTCTGCAATCAAATCCGTACATATCATTTGAACAATACTCAATAGTGATGCCAGTTGCTAGCCTCATGTTTAAAAAGGGTGCGATTTATACACAAGCCTGGAAATGATTCAAATTGAATGTAGCCTAATAAAAAATAGCCTTAATCAATGTGTACAATGGCTGAGGATGTAAAAGTCATATAGCATCAAAACATAGTTAAAGTACCAAAAGTAGTCATTGTCCATTTCAGAATAATATATATGATGTTTTATAATGATTGATCATGAAAGTGTTCTCAAAGCTGGTAAAGGTGCAGCTAGTTTGAATGACTTTGTATACTGCAGGGTAGCTTGTGAATTTACTCCAGGTGGAACTAAAGTCTGATTTAACACTTGATTATATTTAGTGCGAATGCTGTGCAACAGCATTCCACTAGTTCTTCAAATCTTTATATCTTCTTCTTCTTCTTCTTATTAGTGCGAATGCTGTTTACAGTATTCCACTATAGTTCTTCAAATCTTTATTCTTCCTCTTATTTCAACCAATATTTTGCCGTTGAATAACTTCAGCATACTTTCAGCTACAGAAACCATTCAAATATCAAAATGTTCAGCCTTTTCAGCACATGATAGGAAACTTTCAACTTTTTCAATTGTTTTTTGAAATATTCAGCTTTTTAAACTCTTTTTTAACATGTAACTCAATGGGAGGAACCTTCAAATCCTCTTTTACCTACACCTTGCGCCAAATGCTGCTGCTTCCACATACTTCCGGCTAGAGACTTCATTCCAACTATTAAAATGATCACAAGACATTCAGCTATAAAACTTGTTCTTCAGATTTATCATATCTTTTACACTTTTTGAGATATTTAACTTAGTTTGGAGCTTGGTAAAGAGGCCTTCTTCAGATTTTAACATTAGTATGTATTGCGCAGCTCGTTAAGTCTAGAGTGCTTTTATCTCAAAACAGAGTGGAGTGCTTGAAATTCGGCCAAAACATTTTTTTAAACCTGCCATAATTCCCAAACCCTACACTCCTTGGACATCATTTTTCATGAAAAACGTAGGAAAACCTCTCCTACGTTGAAAAATTAAAAGAAATTAAGAAAAGAAATTAAACAAAATGCCTCTTGAGGACATGAAGAGACAAAAACTTGTCAAAAACTCCACCTAGCTCCCAATAGACTCCCATGTTAATTTTTTTCTGATCTTTCTTCAGACTAGAGAGAAGTAAACTTTAAACAAACTGCTCCCATCTCCACATTTTACACACAAAACCAAAAAAACAAACATATATCAGTTCATTGGGGTTCCCTGATGCTCACGGTCTGGTATTTTTTTTATAGGAGCCATAGTTTTTGAACAGGTGGCAAAATTGTCAGATATAATCCTCAATGCATTCTTAATGGGATTCAGTGCTGCAGTTGGTTGCCATGGTGTTGCTGAGCAGATTGGGGCCACACACCTGAGTGACATCATCTAATCAGAGCACACACGCCCACAGACAGACTGGTACACGCACACACAAACACTGGAGGTTTGTCTTTTTTTTTTTTCAACAAAAGTTAGAAATGCAAGAGGTTTATCTCTCATTCAGAACAATTGAAAGGCTCTCCTTTCACTGCACATCTCCATGGAAACCTTTGATCTCTGGGCTCACGCACACAGGTGTTTAATAACGTAGTCACCATGGTAACCTTTGATCTCTGGGCCTACACACACAGGTGTTTGTAAACATTCATTCACTACTACTTACATTTAATATCTAACTCCTTCAGCCTACTTTCAGCTATAAACCATTCAACTATTAACTTATTCAGCTATTTCAGGACATTGAGGTTATACATGTTGTTGTTTATACCTTTTTTAAACCTTTAATTTTAAATATTAAGTTTCTTCACTATTTTTCATACTCTTCCAGTTTAACATTTCACTTTCAAGTGTTCAACAAAGTCATTGCAATGCATTTGAGCTGTAACAATTTTGATTCAAATCATTTCACTTTTCTGCATTTCTCCACTAAGTTCAGCAACACACTTACTTGGTTTCTGTAGCTAAAAGCAGCTACAGAGATCATTCAACTGATAACATATTCAGCTTTTTCTGCATTTTCAGCTAAATTCCGCCACAAATGTTCACAGTTTACAGCATTCACACGCATTTTCTGCAGGAAATGCATTTTCTAGTTCACATCATTAATCCAAATCTGTAAAGTAACTAAAGGTATAAATGTAGTGGAGTAAAAGTACATAATTTACCTCTGAACTGTAGTGGGGTAGAAGATACGAAGTAGCAAAAATGTAAATACCCAAGTAAAGTAAGTATCTCAACAATGTACTTAAAGATGGGGTAGGTAATTCACTTCAGAAACACTTTTTGTTATATTCCATGGAATGCTCTTAACATCCCGATAGCAATGAATACATTAAATGCTTTGACAATAAATACATTAAAAAAATTCATCTGTGGAAGCCGTGGCGCTGGCCCAGCTAAAATAACTGGATGGCCTACCTGCCTGTCAGCCTTCTATGAAGGTATGGTGCAAAATGCGAAAGCTTGTAAAACCTGATGTGAGCACTTGCAGGAAAAAAATATGAGCTTGTGTGCATACATTTACACTTGTATAAAAATATCCACGTATCTGTGAACCAAATTTGAAGTCACAGACGAAAAAAAAAAGTTTTGTAGCTTGTAGAAAAAAATGAACTTAGTGATGAAATGTTCACTTGCAGAAAAATATATATTCCAATTACAACTGCAACTTGGTTATTACAACCTCTCAAATCAGTCATTACAACTTCACGAATCTGCTCTGTGGCAGTATAAATCGACGAATCTGCGGCCTTGACTTTTGCTACACTTCTTGCGATGAATGTGTCGCTAAAGTAATTTTCACCTGTAGATGTGGGGGGATCGGGGGTTGGAGCGAAGGGGCGGAGCTATCGGAACGGCGAGGCGCATGCTCGGGTTACACAAGTGACTACTGACTACCAGGGCCGTATCCACCATTGAGGTCACAGAGGTCCGGACCTCGGTAATTATTTCCGAGCTGCGTATAAAAAAACTTGTGAAATAACTGCACTAAACGGGGTTCTTTGTAGTACTTCCATTTACTGCCGATGGGGGCGCTGCATAACTACGTAGCCTCGATTAAAGCAAACAGAAGAAGACGACATGTATCAACAAACCTCGGCAGCCCGGACTTGTATCGGAGCAGCGGAGGAGTGATGAGGTATCTAGAGATCTGAGTCCAGCGGGCTGCTTGTGTTTCTGTTCATCAGGACATCATATGACCAGCAGATCCTGTGTGAACGCTCTACGTTAGTCAGTGGACGTCCGACAACATGCACACTAACTTATATTGCAGCTATAGGCTACTTTGGTTTAAATTGCGTGAATAAACTAGCTAGAGAGCTACAGTTAATTTCATTCATCCAATGTCAGAAGGATTACCTTTTAACAAACGTTGTAATGCTTTTCTTTCATTTCAATTTGAGTAAAACATTGAAGATATAACATTGTATTGTTTTCTTTTTACACTGACTCAGATATAATGAAAAGAATACTTCAGTCGAAGCTCAGCTTTGGTAAGGAAGAGACAGGACAGGCAGAGAGAAAGAGAGAGAGAGAAAGTGATGGAAGTCAGGGAGGAACTGCAGGTACAGTCACACAAAAGAATGTAGGCTTAATAACCCCATCTATCTATCTATCTATCTATTTATTTATCTATCTATCTATCTATCTATCTATCTATCCATCTATCTATCTATTTATCTATCTATCTATCTATCCATCTATCTATCTATCCATCTATCCATCTATCTATCCATCCATCTATCTATCTAGTTATCTATTTATCTATCTATCTATCTATCTATCTATCTATCTATGTATCTATTTATTTATCTATCTATCTATTTATTTATCTATCTATCTATCTATCCATCCATCTATCTATCTAGTTATCTATTTATCTATCCATCTATCTATTTATCTATCCATCTATCTATCTATCTATCTATCTATTTATCTATCTATCTTCATTTACAATATAGACAATAGGCATACTTTTAACAACATACATCTATTGCAGTTATGATGTCATAACATACAATTGTATAAAACACAATTTGCTTACATCTTTGTTCTCTTTTGAGAATCAAACAAAACAGATTTGTATTTTAAAAAGAATGCAAACAAGTGAAATGAACTAAATTGCTGAATTGCTTTTAATTCACTGGCAGGAGCGAGAAGTGAGGAGGAGCAAAAAGTGAACAACGAGGGAGAGATTGAACAAAGAGAAAGAGTAGAGGACAGAGAGAGTAATGAACAGGAAGAAGACAGAGAGACTAAAGAAGATGGAAGAGAGGCTGCAGGTTATGGAAAGGAGAGACATGGAAAATGAATGTTGACAATGTTATGTGATCATTTTAGCCTCTTCTGCATGTCCAGATCATTCATAGTAACAATCAACTGATTCTTATGCATTACACTTTCAAAAATAATTTATGCTGCAGCCCACTGACATGGTTTGAAATCAATATATTATCCATTTGTGACCCCCCACAGGACTTAAAAAGCACCTAACAAGATCATGAAAATCCCAAAAATCACGGGGGAGTACACCCCCGAACCCCCCTAGCATGTTTGGACCTCGGTATTTAGCAAATACTACTGTTGCCCCTTTCACACCAACGCAGCTCCCGTTCTAGCTCCGTGCTTCGCTCACAACAAC